AATAAGCTTAAAAAAATAAGGATGACTTTTTTTTTTGTTTGGTAGCTTCTAGGCACCTACGAGAACTTTTTCCTTTTCTTTTCCTTTTTTTCTTTTTTTTTCTCGATATATTTTGAATTCTTCCTCATTACATAGCTTTATCTTTGAACAACACGATAATATTTTCTTCAAGACGTTTAAGAGGATCATGGTCCACGAATCGTTTTATAAACGAGATCTTCTCAAAAGAGTAATGAGAATACTTTCTGACGGGAAACTTACAAAATGTGACACGAGAGTGTGGACTATAGGAGCACTTTTTATATATCAGTTTTTAAATAAATCTATACAAAAAAGAAAAAAAAAAAGGAAAAATAAAATAGATCAATTTTATATCTCTTATCGATTTTATATTATTATATTTATTATTTATACTTATATTTTATATTAATAATGTAAAAAAAAAAGTCAATGAACAGTCTAAAAATAAAAATAATTTAATTTAAAATTTAATCAAGTTAAACTTAAGCAAGCACAGCCATATAAAGTATAAAATCAATAAAATCAATAATAATCAATAAAAGTCGATAATAGTTCTCCCAAGGTTCACTGCAACGAATTTTCTCAAAAATTTACATACTCGTAACCGATTTTGGTCACGTATGCACACGCACATACGTACACACGCGCTCATAAATACACACAAGCACACATAGTTTACAATAAGACTGAACTATTGAAAAAAACCATCGATCAACGTTTACACGCTCGCCAATTCCTTTTTTGCGAAGTTATCGAATGAAATAGATAAAAAAAAAAAATAAAAATAAAAAAAATTATGAAAAAAGGAAGAACATGATGTAGCGATAGCGAAGCAATGATAAAACATATTTTCATTTCGAGTCACGAAGTCGATTATCTAAAAATTAAAAAATTAAAACGCGATAATTGCCTTGCGATTCCCTTTCCATATTCTCGATCGATTTTTCAAAATTTTTTTACATTTACTGCTTAACCGATAAATTCAAAACGTTTCGGGCAATTATAGAATTTCGCTCAAATCGTTAGAGAATTGGAATGTTTATCAAAAAATTATTTTTTTCAATAGAATGAATCGAGAACTGACCGAGAATTAATTTTTAGTTTCTACCTAACCTCATTTTCACTTTCTCCACCGCTTCTCTGACGACATCTGTTATTTCCTTTCCAAATTATTTTTCCTTTATTATTTATCTTCACACACTTTTTTCCTTTCGTTTGTTTTTCTATTTCTTGTTTTCTTTTGTTGTTGTTGTTGTTGTTGTTGTTGTTGTTGTTGGTTGTTAATGTTACTTAAAATCTATCGCGCTCAATCACGAATCTAGCTGAGATCCCCTAAAAATGCGTGTAAACCTACGATTACAGTGTGTGTTAACGTTACATGTTACAACGTGAGTATTTTGAATGTTAGTTTTTCATCCTCTCGTTTATAACGTTTCGATGTCTCGAAGAAGCCGTCGCAAGCAGTATATAATTCGATATACTTTTTTATGTTTTTCTTTTTTCTTTGATACTTTTTTTATTTTTTAATCGCTTGTTTTTGGCCATGCAAAAATATGCCAAGTTCTGTTATAGTAGCGGGACCGTTTTTCATCGGCACGAACGCCTTTTTCCCTACATTTTTCTTTCTTCTTCTTTTCTCTCTTTTTTCATTTTTTTTATTTTCTTCCATTCTGTTTCTATCAAACTTTCACTTTTTTCTCTCAGAGTCAGGCTCATTTCTCGCGTGTACCGACGAATACTCGTTAAAGACCAGACGCGAAGCGAGTAGCGATAATGCAGCATGTTTTTAAAATGTACACAGTGAAATTTTACAGATAAATTATACCTTTACTCGTCTCATTTCGTTAAAAAGAGTTCGCTAAAATAGTCATTCTCTTCGTCTAATCACTTGTTTAAACTTCTCTCATTTTTTCGAATAATCACAAATTCTACAATCCTCGATACTCATTTACTTCCACAATAACTCGCATTTCCTTTTCTCAATAAACGCACGACTAACTTTCAAAATACATATTCTTTACTTTCTTTCTCCATCGTTGCATCACAATCTTATCGAAAAATTCGCATCTATTATAATTCTAATCTTTTGAAAATGAAAATATTCCATAAAACGGCAATTCCTTCCTGCGATTCTCGCTAGAAGAAGATCAGTCTCGAGACGACCGCCCGGAGCCTTAAGAACTTTCACAAGTACTCTCTGGGCCTGGGCGGAGGCCTCTTTCTGTCGGACCTTTCGCTTCTGTCTGCCGTCGTGGCGCTCTGTTCCCTATCGTCGGTGCACTCGAGCATCTGCGTTGTCTCCGTCGCTTCCGAAGGGCTGATCGGTTGACTGGCTAACGGAGCCAACGGTGCAGCCCCCTTGTTTCTCGATTTGCTTCTTCGCTTTCTCAATATCAAAGGTCCAAGAGGCGTACCGTCGTCCCCCCTGGAAGTAGTCGCCTGGGCCAGTCTTTCCAATAATTCTTTGCTCACTTCCCTCGAGGAGGTCTTGTAATCACTCTCCTTCAGCCTGTCCGACTGCGATTGATGATGATGATGATGATGATGATGGTGCTCCTGGGACTTGGACATCCTTTCAGTGGTTGTCCCCTGCTCCCTGTAAACTTCACCTCCGCTCGTCGAGGTGGACGTAGAAACCTTCTGTTCCCCGCCTCCTCCCGACGTTTGAGTAGCTTGGGAGCCTTGCTGGCAGCTCGAGCCTCCCTGCGGCTGGCCGCCCGATTGATTCTGCGACGAACCACCGTTACCACCCGTCGAAAAATTGTTCGTGCTCTTTTGCTGCTGCGGGCTGGCCGCGGGCAACCTGTTCATCAGCGTTTGGAGCATGTCCTCGATTTTTGCCAACCTCTGGTTCACTCGTTGTACTTCCAGCTTCAGATCCACTTTCACCTCGAGGACAGCGGCTAGAATTTCGCGATCGTGGCTCGGTTGAGTGGTGATCAATCCATCGTCGTAACTTTCCAATCGGCGAAGTTGAAGTTGTTTCGAGTCCGCGACATTTTGTTGCTGTTGTTGTTGCAGTTGTTGGCTCTCCTTCGCAGTTTCCGCGTCCCCTGTTTCCTCTATGGTGCCGCTCAACTTGCCAAACTTGGGAAACACTTTATTGCTACCGGCACTTGAGCTAGGACGGGCATCTCTCGCGCTTAAAGAACGCTTGAACGTGTCCACGCCAGTTCCTGTTTCGCTTCCAGAGTCCAAGCTGGAGCTTCCTACAAAAAAATGTGATGAGATTCCGTTTTGTCCGTTAAACGATTCGATAAATTTATCGATAGAAATAAAAGAGTAACTTAATTTTGTTTCCTAACCTAAAAGCCGTCCCCATTTTCCAGCTCGCCCCCCCTTGACCACGGTGTTGTCATCCGCGATGGATACCTTCCTGCTGTGCGAGGACTCGCCTTCTTTTCCCTCCTTTCCATCTTTTCCATCACCCTTCTCCACGTCGGCAGTGTGTCTCTCTCTGCGGAACCTGAATAGAAAAAAGTAGAGAGCGAGAACGCCCGTGTTTAGTCCCCTTCGACATGACACGTTTTCGTCTATTTACATTACTGGGGTTAAAAGGCCAGTTTCACTAGGCAATTAATTAAATAAAGGGAGGAATAATAAGAATACATGGTGTATACAAAAATTATATATGAAGTGGGAGAATAATATTGTACAAATATTCTTTTTTTTTTTTTTTTTTGAAGAGTTTGGGATACCATAAAACTTT